GGGTTTGTAACAGGTTGGGTTAAATTCGGGTCGGGTTAGGAACAGGGTCGGGTTGAATTCAGGTCAGGTTAGTAACAAGTCGGGTTAAATTCGGGTTTTGACGAGCTAAAACGGGTTTGGGTCAAATTACGGTTCAAGTCGGGTTCGGTTCAAGTCAATAATTTACGGGTTACTATACATTCGGGTCGGGTCATCTCCAGGTTAGTTCATGTTCGGGTTCGGGTCTCACATACTCAGGTCAACTCGGGTCTAGGGTTGGTTTCAGGTCGGGTTTAGGCCACCATTTTTTCGGATTCAAATGGGTCGGTTAATAATCGGATTTGAGTCGATATTTCGGATCAGGTCAACTTTTGACAGCTCTACATAGGATATATAACAAATTAACAATGATTAATTAGGAAAGTCTTCTTACAAGTCATGCATGTCCACAACTGTTAGTACTTGCATGCATCCGCGGTTTCTTATCTGATTAGTATCTAACAAGAATAAATATCTCATAATCTTAATTAGAAGCTAAGCAAAGTAAATCACCAACAAGTTATAATAAAAAAAATTCTTGAAATAGTGGAGTAGAAGTAACGAGAACAATTGGTTTACACTTCACACCATAACCCCTTTCAAAATTACGTGTTAAACTGTTAATAAGTCCTTAAAATTTAAGCTAATTGCAATTACATGAAGTTTCTCTAAAATAGTTCATCCCTCTTCAATTTCTTACAATATCCTTTCAACTATATTAAGATACTGCCCAAAAAAAGAGGTATATATATTATGGGAAATCAATTGGACAGCTTTGTGGGAGTAATAAAGTCTAAGGTAAAAGCCCTGAAGAAGATGAAGTCACCTTTGTCATTGAAGAATAAGAGGAATTACATGAAGATGGAAAAGAGTGCTAGTGTTAAGGTGGCATTTCGGACTAAGAAAGCTCCAAAACACTTTGATAAGACACTAGAAGAGGCCAATAACACCCCCGGCGAAGGCACCGTATCATGATAGTATTTCCTTAAGTCGTAAATTATTTCATGGACCTGGAAATATATATCCAAGTGACTCAAATGGCGTTTCTGATCCAGGCATCCAATGTACAAGTATATATAGCTTGAAAAAAATGAAGAGAATGGAAGGCTTGTTGTTCGACCTGTACACTCAGGTTGTCCACTATGTATGTTAAACCTTTGAAATTAATATCTATTTTGTCAATATTTCTATGTAATACTTAGTTCTGCAATCTATTCTTATAAACGATTCGTTGAAAAATAAAAGGTTTGTACAAGTCAAATGACTTGAACCTATGGATTGGACAATAGCATTGATTTTTTAATCATATGCTTGAAAAAACACAGGTTTAAAGTCAAGATTAACTGTACATATAAAGTTGTAATTTAAAAGCTTGTTTTTGGGTTAGAATAGTTAGATCTAGATGCCTCGGATTTAGGGGTGTACACCGGTCCAAAACCGGACCGGACCTGGACCGGACCTGTTTGGACCGGGGACCTGAATTGGGAATTTGAGGACCGGGGACCGGACCTGATTTAACAGGTCCGGTTCCGGGTCAGACCTGAAACATCAGGTCCGGTCCGGGTTTGGACCTGAATGGACCTGTTTTGTGGTTTTTTCGTTTTTTTTTATAAATAACCTGTTGGACCTGCATATGGACTTGTTTTGTGATTTTTAGACCTGTTGCATAATTTAATAATTACATACAAACCAAAATTATCAATCACAAAACTACATAACGTCTCTAAAGTTCCAATTTCCAAACACCAAAAATACAAATGAGTCCACCGAAAATACAAATGAGTCCACGAAAACTCATAACATTACATAAAGTCTCTTAAGATTCACCCGGAAATGATCCAAACTTGCCAAGAAGTGAGGAAATGGATCCACCCGGAACCAATTCCAATAAGATATTTAAAGCCTCCTCCTCTCTTGCAGTCCCCAAATATCTCTAGCATGGAAATTAAGCTCAGAATCCAGCAATATCGGATCGTATTTTGGTACATGAAAAGATAAAATACTTGCAACTATATTTGTGTGTGATAGATTCCTAAGCAGCTTCACTTCCTCTTCCAGCTCCCTTATGTGAGCCTACTCTCATTTCGAAACAAAAATAAATCAAACAATCAACTTATAGGAGCAGAATGTAGATAATCTTGTATCTTTAAAGCAGGTAACAATAAGAATCAAACTAATAAATCAAAATTAATGATCCAAAAACACGGCAAATTCACACAATTAACCATCCAAGACAGGAAAAATTGTGAATTGCATGCTCAAACAAGTCTCAATTGAATAATTCCATTTCAAATTCAACTAAAATTAATAGATCAAGACAAACCAATCCCTAATTTCAAATTCATCACAAAACCCTGAATTGATTCCCTAACCTGAGTTTTCTCTCTAGAAGCACCACCAGAAGCAATCGAAACCTGCAAATTAAAACCCAATTCACAAAATCAAACTTCCACAATTACCCCCAACACAAATTCAAGTTCATAAATTCAAAAACAATAAACCCTAATCATCAAACCTGCTTAACAGCCAAAATTAAACATATATAAATAAAATTAAACATAAGAGCTTACCCACATAAATAAAATTAAACATATATAAATTCGAATACGTATATAAATTCGAATATATATTCTGAACATAAATAAAATTCGGCCAAAATGAACAAAAATTCGACCCACATAAATTAAATTAAACATATATAAATTTAAGCATACTTCCAAAAATTAAACATATATAAATTCGAATTATGTATATCTTATTCGAATTAAACATATATAAATTCGAATTATGTATATCTTATACGAATTAAACATATATAAATTCGAATTATGTATATAAATAAAATTAAACATATATAAATTCGAATTATGTATATAAATTAAACAAGAACACTGAACATGAACACCAATACACCATAATTCGGAATTTCAAACAAGAACAAAAGAATAAAGAATAATTAAATATGCAAAAAAAATTACCGGAGATTTGCGGTGGCTGATGTAGCAAGCCTTGGGTGGGCGTCGCCTGAGAGTGAGGAAGCAAGGGAGATGTCGCAGTGCAGAGGCAGAGGCGAGGAGAGAGTGAGAATGAGGGAGGAGGCGCAACGTAGAGGCAGAGCAGGGTGAGCAACGAGTTAGGGTTAGAAAATAAAATAAAAATTGAAGTAGAGCACTGAGCAGCGTTTCTGATTTTTTGAGTTTTTGTGTTTGTTTTTTTTTTTTTTTTTAAAAAAAAAAAACCGGGTTTCAGGTCCGGACCTGAAACCCCCGGTTTTAGACCGGGTCCGGACCGGAACCGGGAACCTTGATTTTCAAGGACCGGGACCGAACCTGAATCAACAGGTCCGGATCAGGTCCGGTCCGGATCAGGTCGGTTCAGGTCCGGTCCAGTTTTTGTACACCCCTACTCGGATTAGTTCATGATGAACAATAATTAAGTCTAAAATTTACTGTTTAGATATCTCATTTTAGCTATTAAAATGTCATTTTAAAAGATTATTGTTGCAATAGTAACGTAACTATCTTTCAAAAACAAAGAAAATACAGCAACGTCATAACTTTTTCAAAACATGCGAAATACAGAGTATATGCAAGTAGGGGTGTACATAAACAGGACCGGACCTGAAAACCGACCTGATCCGGACCTGTTGGGACCGGACCTGACCCGGACCTGTAGATTCAGGTCCGGTCCCGGTCCTTAAAATTCAAGGTTTCCGGTCCCGGTCCGGATCAGGTCCAAACCCGAGGTTTTCAGGTCTGGACCTGAAACCCGGTAAAAATGTATTTTTTTAAAAAAAAACTTTTTTTTTCCCAAATATCAAAACAAGAAGTCAGTTCATTTCTAACCCTAACTTAATCACTCACTCCCTAACCCACTCAGCCAACACAAGTCACACAACACACTTACAAACCCACTCCCTCACGCTGCACACTCCTCTAGCGACCACTGGATCGCGCGACTCTAGCAACCCCAGCCACTAGAACGTGCGACTCTAGCAACCGCAATCACCACATTGCGCGACTCCAGCAACCACAGCCACCAAAACACGCGACTCTAGCGACCGCAGCCACCAGATCGCGCGACTCCAGCGACTGCAGCCACCAGAACGCGCGACACTAGAGGCCGCAACCACCAGATCGCGCGATTCCAGCGAACGCAGCCACCAGAACGCGCGATTCCAGCAAACGCAACCACCAGAACACGCGACTCCGGCGACCGCATCCACCAGATCGCGCGACTCCAGCGACTGCAGCCACCCAATCATACACCAATCGCCCTCTTACTCGCTTCACGATCTACCCCGACCTTCCTTTGCGACCATTTACTTTGAAGGTGGTAGATCTGGTGGTTACTGTTGTCTAGTATTTTTGGTGTTTGGGAATTGGGACTTTAGTCAATTTATACAATTTATGTAGTATTCATGATTGATAATATCAGATTTTATGTTATTATTTATTTTATTTTTTAAATAAAAAATCAAAAAATAAATAAAAAAACAGGTCTATTCAGGTCCGAACCCGGACCGGACCTGATTTTTCAGGTCTAACCCGGAACCGGACTTGTTGAATCAGGTCCGGTCTCCGGTCCTCAAATTTCCCTGATTCAGGTCCCGGTCCCAACAGGCCCGGTCCGGTTTTGGACCGGTGTACAACCCTATATGCAAGAATGCAATTAATATTTCCATAGTGTGGACTCATTTAGTATCTGCCCGTTGTTGTTGGATATCTAATTAGACTATTTTAAATATATTAAAGTTAAAAAAAAAAAAAAAAAAAAAACTCGTTTAATATATATAGAGAGTATGATGATGATCCATGCTTCCCTAGTTGACAACGTCCTTAGTTCCAACCCACAAAAGTCCACGAACACTATAACGTGTAGAGTATTTTGACCGCCATTAAACAATTAAGAAAAGTCTGAAAGTTAGTCAAAGTTATATAATTAAATAAATACATAAGAAGTAACACATGATAATACAAAATTGATACATTAAAGGATATGTAGTTCCGTTAGTACTAGTCTAAAGTCAGTTGTATATCCACACTATCACTAACCATTTTTTAGAGAGAAAAAGTGAAGAAAGAAATGGCGAACCAGTTGGGAAGTCTAATGGAGACGATAAAATCGAAGGTGAATTATGCATTGAAGAGGAAGAACAAGTCAAAGAAGCCTTACTTGAAGATGGATAAAAGCGCCAGTGTTAAGGTGGAAATTCGCAGTAGAAAAGCTCGTCAACTTATTGATAAAACGCTTAAAGCCGCTGATCAACCCAACAAGTTAAGCCTTTAGATCGACTTAATCGATCTCTTTAATTTGTTATTTATCGATCGTAATTCAAATTATATCATGTCGTATATATATATATATATATATATATATATATATATATATATATATATATATATATATGTATATATATATATATATATGTATATATATATATATATATATATATATATATATATATATATGTATTCATCAATAGATATAGTTTGGTGTAATAATTCAACTAGGATCGAATTGAATAACAACCTGTCTCCGATAACTTGATAATAACAGGGTTTCCAGATATATGTATATTTCTTTCTTTTCTGTTTTTATTTTTAATGAATTATTAATTGTTCATCTTCTCAATACAATGAGGCAAAATACCAACAATTTCCGAAAACTAGGTTCTTTTTATCCGGAGTATATACGAATACTACCTCCGTTAAATATGTGCAATTTTTGGGTATTGTTTGTGAGATATAAAAAATTTAAGATTTGCACATAATATATGTAACGGCGATATTACTTTAATTTATGTCTCACATAATAGTATATGTACTCCGTATATGTGTAAAATATTTTAAAAACGCATGTTACTTGTGTATAAGTGTTACTACGGTAGTAATCAACTAGGTTCTGTAGTTGATAATTAAATTTTGGTAGGCTCCGTTGTTTATTGAAATTATACGAGAATTGACTAGTTTGCGGAGAGTTGCAATGCAATTGTTGTACGAGTATTACATTTCTCAAAATAAAAAAGGAGGCAAGAAAAAACCACACATCATTCACAAACTTATTGCTATTGTACTATTAATCTATTATGGAATCTTAATTTATTACAGTACCTTACAAAATGGAGTTTATATTCTTCGATTAATTATGTACTCTGTATAAATCGACACCATCTAATAACGCCCAACAGCCCCAACCCATAGTGTTGGTGGACTTGCTTCCACCCGCGTGAGTTCCCTCTTTCTATTGGTTTTTCGCGTCACCATTTCTTTACAAAAATTTAAGGTCACCATTTCTTTACAAAAATTTAAGTTTGGCAAAGTTGTTTCGCCATGCTTAGCCCATGCTATACGCTATACCTCCATGGATCAAACCTTTTGGACCGTTGTTTTGGTTGTTTTGAATATTTGGGTTTGTCATATGTGAAGTTTTTTGGGACTTTCTAATACCTAAAATTAGATCTTTTGATCCCATCCCAAATTTCCAAGGGTTAACGTACTAAAGAGCTCCTCTTATTGATGATTCGCGAATACTTTGACTAAAATATCATAGTAGTACCAAGGGAAAACATATTTCCATATTACAATCATATCAGAGGCATCTTCGGCCTTTATGAAACTTTTACAGATGAAGTTATTGTCAATTGTAAATTCATCAATAAAAAATACTCCATACGATGTAATACGCTTATGGTAGAAAAAAAAATGCTACTAGTTACATTATTGTCCAAATGAAGTGGAATAACATAAACAGAATAAACTTGCAAAACCCAAAAGGTTCGCATCATAGAGGATAGTGTGACACCCATCTATCGAACATTTCAGAGCATTCTCTGCGGTAGTATTCTGCAGCTGTATGACCTCCACCCTGAACATTCATTCAAATTGAATTATAAGTCATCTATTCTCGTAAACTAAGCTGCCAAGACTTATACTTAAGTAAATTTTTGCGGCCAAAATGTTAAGAGAGCTGTTCTGAATCCAATATGATCATTTACATGCTGAGATGTCACGAGTAATGTGTATAATTTACCTTCACGGTTGCATATGTCAGATAATAAGCTGAGTTCTTTTCATATTTCCTTGTATACCTATCACATTTCAACATTTAATAAGAACTTTGTAAACTTATTGAAGCAAAGCCAAGGTAGGAAAACTAAAGCTCAGATTATTTACCCTCCAACTTGAGCATCAACAAACCATGGACGCCATTTGTCTGAAAGAGTTAGATTGGCGGAATTTTTGATGGACTTTATCCATTCCACGACTCCAACAAATGTAACAACCATGTCTCGGTCACCACTAGTTAACGCAGAAAATGGACAACTAGTAAGCAAAATCATTCATGCCAAAGGACACTCAAGAAGTCAAGATTCAAGCTAGGATATGATTACCTGTATACTAGTAGCCTCAGGTTATAGTTGGTGAGGTTTTGATGAACTTGAATAACACTTGGTATATTTTTCGTGTATGATATAGTCTGGTTACACCTACTCCATTGGCTTACCATTCCCTACTTGCATAATAGTCACATATTAGAAAATGTATTTTCATGAATCTATTTTATTCATGAAACATTTTATTGAGCTTATGCTGCAGGATAAAAACATTAAAATCTTAATTCTTGATATAAACTGTTAATGTAGTGTATAGCCTAAAAAGTCAGTTTGTTCTAAAATGATTTATTTACTGCCACAAAATTAAAGAAACATGATACCTTGCGGATGTGCAAGGCATCCTGGACTGCTTCATCATTTGCCCAGGTATCTGACAGAGTATAATTGAAATCCTGCAACACGATTAGGCATCTAGAAATCAGCAAAAGAAAGATTGAACGATTGAAAGAATTAATAAATGCTAAAAGAGGGATTAGCAAGGAAAATACCCGGCACCAAAGATTTGAAGCTTGAGGGACCGAAAGAATGAATTCATTGGGATCCTCCTGAAGAGATCTTCTAGTCCACCTATCATCAAGCGGGCTACCAAGTGTACATTTTGGCTCCAGAATCTGATTTGGCCATATACCCCTGACACACTGTGGAAAGAACAATTTTTTCACAACCTAGATTTTTATGACATCAAAGCTCCTTTAAAAGCATTCGTAATCAAAATTATTCTTAGCTATTGATATTTTACAAACCCTCTCATAATCATCAAGAGCAAGGACACATTGTGTGTTATCTGGATCCACATCTACATAGTTCTTTTTGCAGTACTTCTTGGCATTCTGCATGGTGAAGGACAGAAAGAACTTAATTACAAACTGTGGCAGTAATTAATATTCACCATTTTTCTCCCTCTATTCAAAAAAAAGAGCCACTCTAGCTTTGCCTGTTCATACTCCCACCATACCTTTGTTCATTTCACCTTGATAAAAATAACCTTATTTTAACAAGGAGTTTGGTCTATAAATTCAGATAATAGGGGCTGTTAAGTTCAGACAAGGGCTTTTCAAAGGAAAAGAACGAAGCATATATCTCACAAAAGGGGAGTGCAACAAGCTAAGATCTAGAATGATCACAACTAATAACCATTTAATGTTAAAGTCATTTACATTAAAAGTAATATCTGATATGAGTGCCATCCTATGAGCGAACTCTACTTTTGAATTTGCATCAATGAAACCATCTGTATTCGGGCTTCCCACTAAATATCCCTTCAATATCAAAACGAATCAGAGATTATACCTACAATTGCTTGATTTATTTCATTAGAAGCAAGTATCCATATGATTCTCTGGTAATATCACCTTAAGGTTTAAGTGTGGCTGCACTCCAGCTTCATTACCTGTCAGAAGTATTTCAGTTTGCCTCACAAATTTCAGGTAACAGATGATGAAAAAGCGATTTAGCTATTTAAGCAATAATGAGTAATAAAGAACTACGTTTATTAAAGTACCTTTTATTACTAATTGTGTGATCAGTGGAACAATAATTCCAGAGTATCCATCACCACCCACAAAGAATGGAACATCAAGATATTGAGGATTTTCTACAACCCACTGCATCAGGAGTTCGGAAGATTTAGCTTTCTTCGTTTGAGTCATGTTTACCAACTTAAATCTACTAGCATTATCTCGGTTTAATACTATAAAATTTTATCAGTATTTTCTAGCTGTGACTGTGTAGGATCATAATCACAGATAATCTAGCAAGAAAATCATGTCTACAAGTCCACCTGCATCAAAAATTGATAAGCTTCATCTGCTGCTTTTGTTTCAGAGCTCGGCCATCCCTCTTGAGTTGTTGAGTAGGAAAAGCCTGTTCCAACTGGTGAATCTAGAAATATTATGCTAGCACTCTGCATATACAGCATAAATTCCCGTTTCAGTACTTTTTCAGAAAAGAATATTAGGTAGGAAAATAGAACTTGGCAACTTGGCCTGTACTCCATAACTATCTGTTTTCCTATATCCTCCTTACCTTGGTCCAAGAATGTTCATAAGATCTCAACAGAGGAAGACCTCCTTCTAAAGATGCATCAAGGTCAAATTCTAGTGGTCCTGCCAAATTGTGTACATGCAAAAACGAACTTAGATTACAGACTAATGACAAACAATCCATATACTACTATGACAACTGAGAAGTGGTGTTCATATATAATCTCTAACATGGTACTACTACCAATATTAAGAATAATCAACATAAGTAGATCAATTGTCTAGTGACTTAGCCATATAACAGCAGCTCTTGCAAGAAGATCAAAGCATTGACTAACTTATGATGTATTGAACATAAACCTCAAATGTACTTACCAACCTACGAAGTATCACACAAACTTCAACAATCATACATATGCAGGACTGGCAGCTCAAAACACTAAGTGAGTAGAACAAAAAAAATTAAGGATGAAGTTTTTCGTTCTTCCACGTAAGAGTCAGTAAATTAAGAGGGGCGAATATATGTGAAAAAGAACCAATTTTTAAAAAAGGACCAAAATAAGGTCCATCAGTTGTGTAACATGAGGACATCACAATACAGTACATGGCTCTCAATTGTGAAGTATATAGTTTATATAAAAATAGAAAAGGGCTTTTCACAAATTAAATAAATAAAGTAATTAATTATATATTACAAGCCCAGATTAATCACTGTGATTTGTTTATCACATGGCATTTTATCCTTAAAGGAATTAAGTTGGGAATTCATGATAAAATTCGTGCTGATCGGTGTAATTAATGTTACTTTATACCTAATATTTCTTTTTCTAGCTTCTTGTACGACAATGTTTATCATTTTCCATAAATCAATAGTCCCTCCGTTTCATAACTAGAAGCCTATTTCTAACATTTATTACTCACATAATTAAGAGATATAGGCTACTAATTATGAAGCTGAGGGAGTAAGAAAAAATTCTCAATTTTTACGAAAATATTAGGTAAATGGTTTATCTCAAAATCAACTTGTATTTTCTGGATTGCAAATTGATGAATCTCTCACTCAAGCAAAACATGCAAGATAGGCCCACGACTATTGATAAACATACGTGTAACTTCCTTTTCCACTATTAATTTTCAGGTCATTTATTTTTCCACCAAACAACTATGAGATGAGCAATATAATTATGCCAAATACAGAGTTAACCATTAATTAATTAAGCAATGATTCACGTTTTACATTACTTCATCTGTCTCAATTTAGCTGTCGTACTAATTCAAATTATAACATCAAACAATATATGATTTGCTCTACCAAGATAATCATGAGAATAGATGATAAAAATTACCAATTTCATAAACAAGACTATTCCAAGAAGAACAACCAGGACCTCCAGTAAGCCAAAGAAGTAAAGGGTCTTTCTTTGGATTTCCTTCTGATTCAACAAAGTAGTAGAACATTTCTGAATCTCCCACTTTTATGTATCTATTTTTTTTCACAATTTACAATTTTTTTAGTAGCAGAAAGCTGAATTAAAATGCAAGTTGAAAAAAAAAACAGATAAGATAATTGAATTAAGTTTAGAAATAGAGTTACCCAGTTTGGAGGTTGAAAGGGAGCTTGCCGGAAAATCCAGGGAGATAATCGACGGTCTCGCCGGAGTACGACGGCACCGGCGAGAAGGCGACGGCAAGGAAGAGTAAGATGAACAAATGTATCAGTTGTTTGGATGTGGTCATGGTTTTTTGTTTCAAATTGTCAACTCCTCACTATTGTATAATTACTCCCGTAGCTTTTAGCCTTTTATATGAGGAGGAGAATAGGAGATGCTAGCACTCATGTCGTGTCGTGTTCGAAATTAAATGGGTTAGGAGCCTCAATATTAACTCAACTCATTTATTAAACGCATCGTGTTGTATTAGATTCATTTATCAGTAATTAAAATCGTTGGGAACCTTTAACATTACAAGTAGCTCGTTTTTTTTTGTCCGATTCATATCGTATTATATGAAAAAAAATATTAGTCTTGTTTATACTGGATCAGTCATGTTGTGTTAATTTAGTGTTGTCCTATTGAGAATTTTCACACCAATTCGAATTAAACTTGTTGTGTTGACATAACCCATTTTTTCATGTCCGATTCGTGTTGTGTCGGATTTTACCAGCACTAAATAGGAGTACTCCGTATTATATATTGATAAAGTATGAAGGATGATGTCTTTATGATTACATGACTTTTTTTCCGTTTTCTTAAGAAATTTCAGGACCCATGATTAGACTAATTTATCATGTAGTACTCCATGTCTCCATATACTATTATAGGACCACATGTGTTCCACGAGTCTCATTAATTATTATTTGTTGTGGAAATGCGGAGTAATTTGTTTACGCTAATCTTGATACTTAGCGCTATGAGTATTAAATTTAATTGATTAAATATAAGGTTAATGATAAGTTAAATTTATAGTACTCGTAAGTCTGTAGCATAGTTAAATCACACTATGGAATATCGGTTGGTTAGACTATTATATAATTTTATGATAATCGAGAAAGAGACTTTTTTTTTTATAATATATTTAGAACCATCTTATATATGTATCAATTTTGTTCCTACATTCCACTTCTCTTCAACTTTTACTCTTTAATAATCCATAATTCAACATCAAGATTTAAAACTATATTAACTACTATTGTATATGAAATTTGATGCAAATTGTACATTACTCCGAAAAAAAAAACTAATTTAAAAAAAAATATTAAGAAAAATACAAATGAAATTTTGTAAATCAACCATTTTTATTACTACCTCTATTAATTATTATGTGCGACAATAATATATTTTATGTCTCATAAATAATACCCTCCTTTTGTTGCACATAAACAATGGAGGTAGTAATAATGTTTTATCATTTCATTAGAAAATTCCAAGAAAAAGGAAACTCTTGCTCCTTTCTTTAATCCTCACTGCTGAGTGGTGACTAATCGAAAGAATCAAATCAAACCAACTCCACCAGGCATGTATACACAACGCCACCAAAACCAGGAGAGAGAAACCCAATTTTAAACAATACAAAAAACAATGCGGCCCGACGACGAGCCCGAGATAGCCCGTCCTGGATTGGTGCCGGGCTTGATCGGCGGGCACCGGAAAAAGGGGACCGGAGTTCGAGCCTGGTTGGTGATTGACTCAGTGGGTCAGGCTCAAGTGGTTGAAGCAGGGAAGCACTCTATCATGCGACGAACGGGCCTCCCGGCCCGAGACTTGAGGATATTGGACCCGCTTCTTTCATACCCATCAACTGTTCTTGGAAGAGAGAGAGCGATTGTGATTAATTTGGAGCATATTAAAGCAATTATTACTGCCCAAGAAGTTCTTTTGCTTAATTCTAAAGATCCTTCTGTTACCCCTTTTGTTGAGGAGCTTCAAAGAAGATTAGTGCGTCTTCATCAAGCTACCAAAATTCAGGTTGCCCCTTTTTTTAATGATTGGTTGCTTTTGATTGTGGTTGAGATATGAGGTTTGATTTTTGGGCGTGTTTTTTTGTGATTGATTATCAGTTTTGTGTTGCTATATGTTTCAATTTGGTGTTGGAGTTGAGATATGAGATTTGATTTTTGGGTGTGTTTATTTATTTATTTATTTTTATGATTGATTATCAGTTTTGTGTTGCTATATGTTTCAATTTGGTGTTGGAGTTGATGGTGAATTTAAGTATGTTTATCTAGTTTTTTTTATGGTAATGCTGAATTTATTTATGATATGATTTAAGTGTAATATAGGCATATAGTTTTCCTACAATCAGAAAAATTAAAGCTTGGTAGATTGAGATTGAGAGAAGATTAGGGTATTTATACTTGAATCTCAATAGCTCGGCATAAGCTTAATGGTAGCAAAGAGGCATACTGAGTTGAACAAGTGAAGTATGAAGCATTATGGTAGCGACTTAGTATACTGTTTAGTCATGGATCATGGGATATGTTGAATTTCACTCCCCTTTAGGCTAATCAAGTGCTGGAGTGTCAATTACCGAGTAGATTTGTGGTATGATCAGAGTAAAACATCAAGAGTAATAGACTTGGATTTTATTGAAATCATAAAGGGGCATTGCTAACTCTAGATTTGCTGATACCTCCTTCAAGATTTGTTCAATGAAATTCTCTTGAATTCTGTCATTTAGCTTTTCTGATGTTCCATATGATTGTTAACTGTATCATTTGTCGCTTATCAACTACTAGTCTGTAAATCTCAGTTCATATTTGTGTGTCATCTAGTTATTTCTTTCGAGTTAGAAATCGATACTTAACACTAAGGTTTGTTACTTTGTTTCCCTATGCTAGACTGCTAGTTATTATGTTATACCTTCTAATTCTTCGTCATACACTGGCTATGAAGGATGCTGGAGGTGGGGCAGATAATTCTGAGTGGCGAAATCTATATGACCTTGAGGAGCCCCCAAGCACTGATGTTAGCCCTCCAGATGATCTTTGCGGCTTCCCTCCACGTCAAGGGGTGAGTGATGATAAGAATAACTTGGAGGAAAAGGAAGATTTGAAGAACAGAGATGGAGTGAAGGTCCTTCCGTTTGAATTTATAGCTCTGGAGGCTTGCCTTGAAGCAGCTTGTAGTTCCTTAGATATTGAGGTATACCCAACTAATTTATGTTTAAGAGTGAAATTCTTGTTGATACTGGTTTGTCATTGATTTCTTTCTTTATTATTATTTTTTATTTTTTCGTATTTTTCTTTACTTCATTTTGGTTTGTGGGTTTTGGTTGTTTTTCTATCAGGCGAAGACATTGGAGCAAGAAGCTCATCCAGCCTTGGATAAGCTAACATCAAAAATCAGCACCCTGAACTTGGAACGTGTTAGGCAAATTAAGAGTCGCCTAGTGGCTTTAACTGGGCGTGTCCAGAAGGTACTGTGATTTACCTGGTTGTTTCCTCTGTACCTGTTTGTGAGGAAGTCTGTACATTTTTTCATTCCCAGTCCAGAAGCAACTGTGATTTACTAACAATACAAATTCTTTATAAAATAGTTATTGCCTCTGTTCCGTATTATTTGCAATTATTGCCAAAATGGATACTACACATTTTATGCAACAAATATTTTCTTTCCTTTTAGGTTATCATTTCTCTCTATCTTTCTCCTCATCACCTGCATCAACTTCAATTTTGGAAAATTTCCCTTAATCATGTATTATTCCCGTTAATAGTTTAATTATAGAAAAGCTTTTTCGGATGTAAAAATGAAAGAGGTTGAGGTGCTTCTCTTAATTTTATGTTATCCCAGGAGACCACTTGTGTAGTTGGATCCATCTCTTGTTGCTCTTGACTACATTACAAGAGATTAATGGAATAGCCATATTCGTAGATCGAGCTCCTTCTCGATACTTGAGAGGCTTATAAGCTGGCTATCATGGTTCCAAACCAACTTTTATGGCCCTGGGAACCACTTCCAATTCTTCTACAATTTATTTGATAAATATCCCAAGATTGATTGGAAATCATGTATTATAGCCTTCAATCTTAGGGATTTTTCTACTTTTCTAGATAGAGGATGAGGAGCTATCCTTGTTCTCTTGATAATTCGGGAGGCCACTTAGGAAGGTTGTTCCATCAATTTTGCTTCTTAACTATCCGTTTTGCTTGTTACTAAATTCCATCTTAGGCCTTATTTTGGCTCTCACTAGTGGGCGCATATGGTTCCAAACATCCCTCGTATTGAGATTTTGACACTGAATCCCGAAATCTCCGAAAATGATTTGATTTTGTGTATTAAGTTTTCAATTTAGTCTCCAAAGATTATTTTCGAACCCTGCAATCTTAGGAATCGATGTGTTCCCCATGTTTCTCATGAGAGACTAGCAGACCTATTTGGTGGTCGAAAATAATTAATTCATGCCTTAAATCACATACCTTGGCCATACCTTGCCCTGGCTTGGCTCATGCCCATGCTCTCTGAAATTTCCCCTAAGATAAGCAAAGACTCTACCCTTTATGACAATAATACCATGTATAGGTGTCTGTTTTAGAATGAGGAGTTTTTATGCCTTTTTCCTTGGCATCTTACCCTCGCAACACTTATGCCCAGTCCTTTTACCTTGAGCCGCAGCGCCTATGCCTTAGCCTTGTGTCTATGCAAACAGATACGCTTATTCCCTTGACTGGGGAGCACATCTTTTATATGGCGTGATTCTTCAAGATTTAGCATGGATATGCTAGTGGTTTTATGATGCCCCAGGGAACCTAAGGTTTTGACATCTCCTAGGTTTCGGGGCAATCATGTGGTACTCCTTGTGTGGGTTTTCATATGTTGAGAGTTGCACCCATAATTGTGTGCTATAGCCTTTGTTAATAGTCTTTGGTCAATTGAGTGACTTTCAAGTTTCAACGTTTGGTATATTCATGGGTTTGGTGACTTGTATGTGCTTTTGGTTTGTGGATATTAAACTTGTCCATGAGAATTTTAGAGTTTCTATCCTTGTGGGTCTGACTCGCTGGTCACCTAGTTGCTACTGTTTATGTGCCTCAGCATGGGGTGTACTAAGGGCTTCCCGACTGTAATAATGGAGGACCCATGAAAATCTTTCAGGTGATGCAGCAAGGACAGAGGGAGAAAGGGAGGGCAAGATTTGTGTTGATATAGAAGGGAGTGAGGGGAAGAAACAGAGAAGAAGGAGATGGGGTTTGGATAGATGCAGATCGGGAAGTAGTATTTTTTCATTTAATTAGACATAGGACCCCTATTGGTTTCTTTATTTTCCTGTCCTTCCATTAGATTTCTGCTTTGCCTATTTTTTTCAGGGTGATGGGGGGATTGAGGGAAGCATACTGGAGGTCATGTTATAATTTCGTTAGTGGCGTTTTTCTCTCCTATGAACCAAAGAAGGAAAAGAATGATAACCAGCTGGTTTCAGCTAGCGTGTGCTAAATTTAAGTCTCATGTTAGGGATCTTTTCCTTGGTTACATTTTTTTTTTTTTTAAAGGTCAGTTGCATGCCCATCTAACTTTCTAGCTAATATATGGGACTGTTTGTGATTGTGAAATTGTTTTAGTTCAATAGATACAGTTACTGACGTCACATAATGCTTTATATATGAAATGTAATTTTGGTTATTTCAAATACTAATAAACATGCTCCAAGTCCCCAGGTGAGAGATGAACTTGAGCACCTGCTAGATGATGATGATGATATGGCTGAAATGTACCTAACTGAGAAGCTAGCTGAGCAAAACCTTGATGACTCCTCCGTTTCTTCTGTTAATGAGCATGATTATGCTAGTGATGGAGTCCAAGCTGAAATGGAAGAAAGGTAACTGGCAAAAGGGGCTCTGAAAGATTAATGTTTATTTGTTTTGTTATCTAAAGCATAGATGGATCTCATTCTGACTGTTTCAATTCAAGTCCCTAAATGTTTAGCTTTTTTGTATACTAGGATGCCTGCTGAAATATCGGAAGTTAATGGGGGTTCAGGCAGATATGAAAGTGATGCCAACCCTCAAGACCAATATTTTGGAGTGCCTGCACGACTAGCCAGAAGTGGGACACATACTAGCACGACACACAGTGCCATAAGCAAGCACCTTGATGTGGAGGAGCTTGAAATGCTTTTGGAGGCATACTTTGTTCAGATCGATGGTACACTTAATAAGCTCACTACGGTTTGTAACATACCTTTGGTCTTAAGTTTTTCCTGTTTTCTGTTTCAGTGCACTTACAAATTGACTTTATGCTAGCGTGTTTCGATCTCTTCAAAAATTATGCTTGAACATGATTAACTAGCAGGGAACTGGATAGTATATACTTTGGAGTTTGGAAACAAAAAACATACCTTCTTGTTTTCATGCAAATTTAACTTGATCAGAACATTTTCTGGTGAATTTAATTCCATGCAAAAAAATCAGGTTTTTATTGCGTCTCTAATTTTCTATCCTTGATTTTTGAAGTTGCGTGAGTACGTGGATGACACAGAGGATTACATTAATATAATGCTGGATGACAAACAGAATCACCTTCTGCAAATGGGGGTCATGCTCACAACTGCAACTTTAGTTGTGAGTGCTTTTATTGTTGTTGCTGGTATCTTCGGGATGAATATCCACATCGAGCTGTTCGATCCTGACAAAGCTGGAGATCCGGAATTTCTCTGGACTGTTGGTGGTGGAGCAACAGGTTGTTTAGCCCTTTATGTTATTGCTGTCGCCTGGTGCAAGCACAAGCGTTTGCTAGAGTGATCACACAAGTGGCCATTGCAAGAATGATGTGGTGTAATTGGCTTTGTATAGTTTTGATATGAAATTAAATTTTTACTTAGATGCACTAAACATGTAAATTAGTAAAATAAGCTGTTGTAATCTTGTCGATGGATTTCAACATATATTCATACTGGATTTTGATCTACACAGCTATTATATACAAGTGTCATATATATACTTCCCACTCCATCCAATTGAGAATTTCTCTATTACCAAAAAAAAAATATATATATATACAAAATATCTTTGGGCTTGATGGAACTACATGCTTGGTATCTTTTTTTGGATCTTGCAGCCATGACAATTAACTTAATTATTTTACCCCTCCATTTAGTGAGGTACCTAGTCGATATTATTGCCTTATGTTGGTCCATTATTTCCCAAATTACGACGTTATGGATAATCTTGTGGCCTTAAACATGTAATAATCATCCTTTAGACAAGTTATCTGAAATTTGAGTAAAATTGAGACCAAGCCTACTAGAAAACAATCTTACAAGGAAATAAGTTATCTAGTATATTGCATGAATCCAATCAAAGAAAGATAAAATTAGATATTTGAGTGGCAAGATATGTAGACCACAAAATTCACAACTTCATCCACAGGTGTTTGTAGCCACAGGAAAAGGGTTGAGGCTCCATGCACATAGCACTGCAGAAAAAAGATGATGGCTCTAGCAAGTTATTCTTGCAGATTTGTACCAGATAATGTGAAAGAGCTCCTTGATCGTGGAAAGTCTTTAACAGCAGCAACCGCGAGCACAGCCAGAAGTATAGCAGTCTCCGGCTCTGATATTGGTGGAAGGAGAAGGCTTCTTTTATCCTCAACTGCTGCTGCTTTATTAGCTGTAGCAGCCACTGATGCTAATGACAGCCGGACTGCCCTTCTTCAAAGTAAATATCTATGTTTAACCAACTTCTTTATCATTAATCTTAAATTACTTTAATGATAGTTTATGTATAATCAGAGTATTTGAAGAAGTCAGAGGAGAACAAAGCAAAGAATGACAAAGAGGTAAGACTGATTAAGGTTCCCTTATAAAATTGTTATAATTGATGCTTGATTAATCTCAATTAAGAAGGATCAGCACCAACTTATTGAGTTTACAATTTTGCAGCAATACTTTTAAGCTTAACATTGCCAAAGTTCAAAATTTAGTGTGCTCTCTGTATCACTACCCATTTCAGTTTTTAATTTACAAGTTGTATAATCAACTTAAATCTAGGCACACATTTCTTAATTCTAACATTAATGCTGGATGAATTAGTCCAATAACACTGTTAGATAGCTCCTAATAATCAATATGATTAAGATTAATTATTTTTATAGTATTTAATTTCTTGTCACTATTTACCAATGCAGAGAATGGATGATTACTACAAGCGAAATTACAAAGACTACTTTGGATTTGTAGAGGGCACTTTGAGAGCCAAGGATAAAGAACAACTTTCTGAATCAGAGAGAGGTATACTTGAGTGGCTGGACAAGAACAAGTAATTTCAGTGTATTTCTCGTTATTATTCTGTAAAATTCTGAATTTCGGCAATTTTTATTTTCGTGCGAAAAATAGTCAAAAATTTTAAAAATTGAAGGCTATTATCCACGCTTTTTGAGAAATTTTGGACGTTTTGTGACCCGTTGTCGAAAAGGCTTGAGATTTTAGGGGATACATCTCGGAGTCATATATAATGTCATTTTAAACCTTATATGATCATTATATGAAGTCATAAATGATCGTGGTAGGATTGAGTTTATGAAATCGGTGCTAGTTATAAATCAGTAAATGGCCCGTTTAAAGGCAAATTGGAAGGATCCACCCACCCAATTGGACTCCCAAAGGATATTAGGGACCATGGTAAACATTTCGGCAAGTTTTATTTCCATGCGGAAAAAAAGTCAAAATTTTCAAAAATTTAAGGCTAATAACTATGCTTTTTGAGAAATTTCAAAGGTTTTGGGGCCCGGTGTGGAAAAGAAATGAGATTTTAGGGGATACATCTCGGAGTCATATAATGCCTTTTGGAACCATAAATGATCATTATATGTTGTCATAAATGTTCGTGGTAGACTTGATTTAATGAAATCAGTGCAAGTTGTAAATCGGTAAATTTGCCGTTTACAGGCAAATTGGATGATTCCACCCACCATATTGAATTCCCAGAGGGTATTAAAGACCACGGTAAACATTTCGGCAATTTTTATTTCCATGCGAAAAAAAGTCAAAATTCTCCAAAATTAAAGGCTAATAACTATGCTTTTTGAGAAATTTCGAAGATTTTGGAGCCCGGTGTCGAAAAGAAATGAGATTTTAGGGGATACATCTCGGAGTCATATAATGCCGTTTGGACCATAAATGATCATCATATGTTGTCATAAATGTTCGTGGTAGACTTGAGTTAATGAAATCGGTGCAAGTTGTAAATCGGTAAATTGGCCGTTTAAAGGCAAATTGGATGGTTCCACCCACCCAATTGGACTACCAGAGGGTATTAGGGAACATGGTAAACATTTCGGCAATTTTTATTTTCATGCGAAAAAAGTAAAAAAAATTCAAAATTGAAGGCTAAGATCCACGCTTTTTTAGAAATTTTAGAGGTTTCGTGACCCGGTGTCGAAAAGGCTTGAGATTTTAGGGGATACATATCGGGTCATATAATGCTATTTGGAACCATAAATGATCATTATATGTTGTCATAAATGTTCGTAGTAGGCTTGAGTTAATGAAATCGGTGCAAGTTGTAAATCGGTAAATTGGTCGTTTAAAGGCAAATTGGATGGTTCCACCCACCCAATTGGGCTCCAAGAGGGTATTAGGGACCATGGTAAGCATCTCGGCAATTTTTTTTTTCTTGCGAAATAAAGTCAAAATTTTCCAAAATTAAAGACTAATATCCACACTTTTTGAGTAATTTTGGAGATTTTAGGGTCCGGTGTCGAAAAGTCTTGAAATTCTAGGGAATACTTCTCGGTGTCATATAATGCCGTTTGGAACCATAAATGATTATTATATGTTGTCATAAATGTTCATGGTAGACTTGAGTTGATGAAATTGGTGCAAGTTGTAAATCAGTAAATAGGCCGTTTAAAGGAAAATTGGAAAGTTCCACCCACCCTATTGGACTCCCAGAGGGTATTAGGGACCATGGTAAACATTTCAGCAATTTTAATTTTCGTGCAAAAAAAAGTCAAAAATTTCAAAATTGAAGGCATCCACGCTTTTTGAGAAATTTTGGAGGTTTCGTGACCCGGCGTTGAAAAGGCTTGAGATTTTAGGGGATACTGCTCGGGGTTATATAATGCCGTTTCGAACCATAAATGATCATTATATGTTGTCATAAATGTTCGTGGTAGACTTGAGTTAATGAAATCATTACAAGTTGTAAATCAATAAATTGGCCGTTTAAAGGCAAATTGAATGGTTCCACACACCCAATTGGACTCTTAGAGGATATTAGGGACCATGGTAAAAATTTCAGCAATTTTTATTTTTCGTGCGAAAAAAAGTCAAAAAATTTCAAAATAGAAGGCTAATATTCACGCTTTTTGAGAAATTTTGGAGGTTTCGTGACCCGGTGTCGAAAAGACTTGAGAATTTAGGGGATACATCTCGAGGTCATATAATGCCGTTTGGAACCATAAATGATCATTATATGTTGTCATAAATGTTCGTGGTAGACTTGAGTTAAAGAAATCGGTGCAAGTAGTAAATCGGTAAATTGGTCGTTTAAAGGCAAATTGGATGGTTCCACCCACCCAATTGGGCTCCAAGAGGGTATTAGGGACCATGGTAAGCATCTCGGCAAATTTTTTTTTCTTGCGAAATAAAGTCAAAATTTTCCAAAATTAAAGACTAATATCCACACTTTTTGAGTAATTTTTGTGATTTTAGGGTCCGGTGTCGAAAAGTCTTGAAATTATGTGGAATACATATCAGGGTAATATAATGCCGTTTGGAACCATAAATGATCATTATATGTTGTCATAAATGTTCTTGGTAGACTTGAGTTAATGAAATCGATACAAGTTGTAAATCGGTAAATTGGCCGTTTAAAGGCAAATTGGATGGTTCCACCCACCCAATTGGACTCCCAGAGGATATTAGGGACCCTGGTAAATATTTCGGCAATTTTTATTTTCGGGCGAAAAATAGTCAAAAAATTCCAAAATTGAAGACTTATATTCACACTTATTGAGAAATTTCGGAGGTTTCGAGGTCCGGTGTAAAAAAGTCTTGAAATTCTAGGCTATATATCTCAGGGTCATATAATGCCGTTTGTAATCATATATGATCATTATTTGTTGTCATAAATGTTCGTGGTAGGCTTGAGTTAATGAAATCAGTGCAAGTTGTGAACCGGTAAATTGGTCGTTTAAAGGTAAATTTGATAGTTCCACCTACCCAATTGGACTTCCGGAGGATATTGGGTACCATGGAAAACTTTTCAGCAATTTCGATTTCCGGGTGAAAAAAGTAAAAAATTTGCAAAATTGAAATCCTTGCTTTTTGAGAAATTTGGGATGTTTCAAGGCTTGTTGTCACAAAGTTTTGAGATTTTAGGTGATACATCTCGATGTCATATAATGCCGTTCGAAACCATATATGGTCATTATAGGTTGTCATAAACGTTCGTAGTAGAATTGGGTTGATTAATTCGGTGCAAGTTGTAAACGGTAAATTAACCGTTTGAAGGCAAATAGGATGGTTCCACCCACCCAATTGGACTCCTAGAGGGTATTAGGGACTATGGTAAAAATTTTCGGCAAATTTTTTTTTCAAACGAAAAAATTAAAAAAATTATATCTACACTTTTTGAGAAATTTTAGAGGTTTCGGAGTCCGGTGTCGAAAAGCCTTTAGATTTTAGGGGATACATCTCGGGCTCATATAATTCCGTTTGAAATTATATATGATCATTATAAGTTGTCATAAAATATATGTGGTAGGCTTGAATTAATAAAATTGGCACAAGTAGTAAACCGGTAAATTGGTCGTTCAAAGGCAAATTGGAAGGTCCCACCCACCTAATTGGACTCCCGGAGGGTATTAGAGACCATGATAACATTTCAGAATTTTTTATTTACGGGCAAAAAAAGTCAAAAAATTTAAAAATTGAAAGCTATATCCACGTTTTTGGAGTCTTCGGGGTCCGGTTCCGAAAAGTCTTAAAATTTTAGATAATACCTCTCGGGGTCATATAATGTCGTTTGGAACCATATATGATCATTATTTGTTGTCATAAATATTCGTTGTAGGCTTGAATTAAAGAAATCAATGCAAGTTGTAAATCGGTAAATTGGTCGTTTAAAGGAAAATTCGATGATTTTACCCACCCAATTAGGCTCCCAGAGGGTTTTAGGGACCATGGTAAACCTTTCGGCAATTTTTATATCCGGACGAAAAAAAATCAAAAAATTCCAAAATTAAAGGCTAATATCCACGCTATTTGAGAAATTTCTCGATTGTTTCGGAGCCCGGTGTCATAAAGTATTGAGATTTTAAGGGGTACATCTCAGGGTCAATAAATGCCGTTTGGAATCATATATGATTATTATATGTTGTCGTAAATGTTCGTGGTAGGCTTGAGTTAATGAAATCGGTATAAATTGTAAACAACTAAATTGGTTGTTTAAAGGCAAGTTGGATGGTTAGACCCAACCAATTGGGCTCCTGGAGGGTATTAAGGACCATAATAAATATTTCGGCAATTTTATTTCCGAGTGAAAAAAATTAAAAAATTCCAAAATTGAAGGCTAATATTCACGGTTTTTGAGATATTTTGGAGTTTTCGAGTAAAGCTGTCAATTCGAGTAAACGGGTTGGGTTTACGTCGGTAAGAGTTGGTCGGGTCAACTCGTGTCGGGTCAATTCGGATTAATTCCATAATCTATACGGGTCGGGTTTGTGTTGGGTCATGCTTGAGTCGGGTCACGTCAGGTGATATTTCTTATCAGCTTTATGTCGGGTTAATAACAAGTCGGGTTACATTAGATTCGGGTGTACAATAGGTCAGGTTTAATATGAGTTTTCACGGGTTAGGGTAATTCTTGGTTTGTGTTGGGTTCTATTCAAATCAATAAATTATGGTTTAGAATCTGGTCGAGTCATTCTCGGGTTTGAGTCGGGTTCGGTTCAAGTCAATAAATTTGCGGGTTATAATCAAATTGGGTCATTTTTAAGTCGGGTCAATCTTGGGTTCAAGTCGAGTTCGAATCAAGTCAATAATTTAAGGGATATAATCAGGTTAGGTCATTTCCAAGTTGGGTCATTCTCGTATTCAAGTCTGGTTACGTTGAAATCAATAATTTGCAGGTTACGACCAGATCGGGTCATGTTCAAGTCAGGTCATATTCGGGTTTAACTAACTATACATAGATAATTATCATTTTTATCAAGCTAACTATTTCCTTTAACTATACTATATATGGCAATATAATATGGAATTATAGTCTAAAATTTAGGAAGATAATTATCTCCTTTGACCATACAACAAATATATAATATATTTAATTCTTAAATTTAAGTCTATAATATAAGACTTGGTCTCCCTCGACAAAATGCTTTGATCAACATAATAAGGTGGTCTAAATTGCATTTAAAGTGATTTAAAATCGAGTCAGGAACAATTTAGGTTGAATTTAGTTCGGATCAATAACAAGTCGTGTTGATTTCGAGTCGGATTGGTAATAGACCAGGTTGAATTTTTGTCGGGTTAGTAATAGGTCTGGTAAAATTCGGATCGTGTCAATAACAAGTCGGGTTGAATTTGGGTCAAGTTAATAACAAGTCGGGATGATTTCGAGTCAGGTTTGTAACAGGTTGGGTTAAATTCGGATCGGGTTAGGAACGAGTCGGGTTAAATTCGAGTCAAGTTAGTAACAAGTCGGGTTAAATTCTGATTTTGACGGGTTTAAACGGGTTTGGGTTAATTTCGGTTCAAATCAAGTTCGGTTCAGGTCAATAATTTACAGGTTATATTCAAGTCGGGTCATCTCCAGGTTAGTTCATGTTCGGGTTTGGATCTCACATACTCGAGTCAACTCAGGTGTAGGGTTGGTTTTAGGTCGGGTCAGGTCACCATTTTTTCTGGTTCAGATGGTTCGGTTAATAATCGGGTTTGAGTTGGTATTTCGGGTCGGGTCAACTTTTGACAGCTCTAGCTCATATGATATACAAATGTTCACTCCTAAAAACAGTTCTCGTATTTCACTATTTTGTCTCAATCCCTGTCAAAAACAGATTTGTAAAAACTATGATATAAACTTCATGGCTACTGAGAATCAGACCACAGCATCAATGTAGCGAGGAGTGATATTGTAGCAGTTTCAACTCGCAGGCGGTGTGGCCCAAGCCCTACTGCAGTTGCACCAGCTTCAGTGATCAGTTTCAATTCTTTCTCAGTGAAGTCTGAAACATTCAAACATTAAGATGAGATTAGCTCACAAAAGCATTCAATAAGTTTCACCAGTTTGTCAATTTATATCAAAATTTTCAGGAAGACAGCAACTCATCATACCAGTGTGTCGAAAACAAAACCAACGCCCCCACCCCAAAATTAATAAAACAAAAACCCTATAGCTCATGAGGACACAGTTACAAGTCTTACAACTTATAGAGTATCAAAACTTAAGATTTATGATGCTGGACAGTAATGCATTGTTCATCAAAGTCGTTCTTGCAATCACAGAAAAAAAGAGAGAAAGTTCTCAATCTAGTCACGCACATAACTTTATGGGGTACATTCATCATTCACCTCATCCACTTTGGCATTATAAACTATCTGAAAAAATTTACAAGGTATAGCAAATCAGCAATTCTTTCTTAAAGGAGATCCAGAAAACATAGAAGTTAATAACATCTACAGGAACCACTGAGTAAAATTTTTAATCAAGTATATATTAATGTGCGATAAAAATCTGCTCGAGAAAAGACTTGAACTAACCCCCTTCTGGTCCAATTATAAGCGAACCTCTATATTCTTTGGTCGGTGATGTCATTGTCAATGTACTGATCAGAGGAGTAGCTTCTGCTGCAGCAACAAAAGATAATTTTGATTGTGCAACCTAAGGGAAAAGATATTTTATGTAAGTCACTATAGCCAGTTTGTCATGCTCATATTGTAATATACAGCTATGCAGAGAAATTAGCAGAAGGGAAGCACTGTATTGATTAATTGACTAATAATAACACACCATTTTCTCAGAGGCTATCAAAAGATCATGGGGTATGCATGTCATGATTTAGTATTTTTAATACCCACATATGAAGAACAAAATCTTGTGATTCAAAACAGGACATAACTTTGGCCTAACATAAGTCACATTTGGTCATAAACCCTTGAGTATGTAACTTATCCCAAACTTCCAGGATTGTTAAACAAGTCCAGAGACATTGCCCTCAATTTGGGGTTTCGCTCAAGTGTAGGACTTCTCCAAACTGGCTGCTCGAACAAACACATAAACACCCTTCGAAACCTTGGCCTTCACAATGCAAGCAAAAATAAGTGAAGGCTGCAACTAAAGGATTTTGATGTTAAAAGAATGACTAACGGAGGACTCTAAAGCACCAGAACCAAATTATATATTCATAGGACTCCATCAAGAACAAGGAAATAGGGTCAAGGGATACACAACAAACAACTGAACTTCATACTGCCACTCTTCCTAGTTCCTACTACCACTTTTAGAAAATTCCTTTTAGATAAACCTATTGTCATTGTTGCATATACAGCCACCGCTCCATGGAGAACAGACAATATGATCAGTCAATTTCCTCCAAAGCTTAAAAATTGTTAGTAGGTAGGCTCTAGCCCTTCTTTTATGCTCGGATTATGATACAAAACAAGGTTTTTTTTTTCCCATCCTACACCTCAACCCCCAAGCCTCATTATCTCTCTGAAAACAGATGTCACTCAGTTGGGCAGCTTGATGAATGAATTCACCAATAATGTCCAATGTTAAACACAGATCCACCCAGCTCATTACACCCTGATAGCCACACTATAGAAGTGTAAACGTATAGCCAAACAAAGCAGAACAGATTAACATTACATATATTACAAATTAAAATGCGCAGGAATATACAAATTGAGGCATGTCAAAGGAATTGAAGAATAATTGTAAGTTGTATGTCAAAGGAATATACCAAGCCTTAGTGGCTTTAGTGCCTCACTGGTACAGTGCATGGTTCAACAAATCAGGATTTCGTTGTAATAACTAAACTACAGCAAGTAGCAACTCACATTAGGTAAAATGCTTCCAACTTTCATTGGAGGATTTAGAATCATTTCATGCAATCGTTGACCTGCAATAACGTGGGACAACTGATAAATCACTTTAAAGTAGTATAGGTAGAATTACAAGTAAATACTAATACAAGACTCCAACATACTCTCTTCCCAGGGTAGTAATAAAAAAATTGAAAAGGGTTACAGAGAGAATTATTGAAGAGAAGTATTAGAATGGGACGATCCAAAATGGAAAGTGTAGATAAAGGGGCGGAGGATATAACAAAAAGAACCATGAATTATACTGGTTTTAATACCCCTGATACAATCAAAGATTTCAGGATAATAGGAGCTTACATTGTTTCGTTGCAGCTACGATCACTCTCTGCAACCTGTCAACTCGATTTTCTGATATCGAAAGAGAACGTTCTGTCAAAAGTGGGGTTACACTACTGGCTCCAAGCTCCTATAGTGAAAATCATAGAATATAATGAATTCTAAGAGCTAAACCAAAATAGTCTAGTAAAAATATTATCAGCAATTGGCAATTATACATCAGCAAAATACTGCACGTCTGCACTTGGATGTTAACTTTTTTTTTAGGATTGACAATTGAGAAGTAAAAAAAAATCATCAAAAAAAGAAAAAAAAAAAAGAAAAAAGAAAGAAAAAAGAAGAAAAGGGAAAGGGAAAGCGAAAGAGGGGGGGGGGGGGGGACAAGAAGAAGAATAGAAACAGACAATCTCAGAAGGAATAAAAAGATGAAAGATAAAATAGATCTAACACCTGACCTGGCCAACTGCCTACCTATAAATTCAATATGGAGTGGAGTCCATCGATTACAAAGCAAAACAAACCAAAAGCTACTAAAGGGTGCAAGAGCTAAGAATATCCTAACTAAAATACAATCATGTAAAAGTGGATGTCCATGACATACAGTGCACTTCTCAACAAGCCAGTCAGCCCTACCACCCTTCAGTGTACCTGCAAAAACACAGGACACAGTTGTCATGACCAGAAACTACACGTAGCTGTCTGCAGATGAAATTAAAAACTTACCGAAAGCAGCATATACATCCCATTGTGGTTCATGAGGATGTACAACTACTTGATCCTTAATTGCCACAAAATCAATTCCCGTGCGATCGACTCTCTCTATAGAACCCTCTACCAAACCGCCTTTACCATTGAAGAGTTCTATCCTTGCATTCAAATATTAAAACAAGGAGACAATAATCAGCTCATCATATGCTCTTTCATAAGGCAAAGGTTGATTACACAAAGTCATAAACAGTAGAGACCAAAATCACACAATAAGAGTATCTACAAGTTTCACATGAAAATAACAAGGGGTGGGCCTAGACATGAATGAGATAGTTCCGGGCACAAATCAGGCCTCCTGGGGCCCTTTGAGAAACCCAGGAAGCACCTTGGCGCATAACCTTGCCAAGTCCAAAAATGTTCCCTACAGGCCAAATTGGAAGGCATACATAAAATCAAGCCATTTTCAGAGATTTAAGGAACCGGTGTTGAAAAATCAAGTGTTGATAGAGGATGCATCCTAGAGTCATATGATGTTGCTAGGAGCCAAATAAGACCAATAGTCAGTGACATAAAGGCTAGTGCTGGACTTGAGTAATTGAGGGGAGGTGTATATGTAATTGACTAAAGTGACATTTTAAAGGCAAAGTGGGCGGTTCTAATCACTCAAAATGCCTCCAAGGGTCTCATGCGGTCCACAAGACCTTTTTCTATACAACACCTAGAAAAGTAAAATATTGTCCAAAATTGAAGGCTATACTACACGTTTTTAGATCATTTTCGGAAAAAAATTTCGAAATTGAAGTGAATGTGGTGGGTGACCCCGGGGTCATATAAGTTGGTTGAGAACCGTAAAAGGCCTATCACTAGACCTATAAAGTTCCGAGATTGGTTCAATTATGTGGGTATATCGAAACTCAGGTTTGGTTCCAATCACAAACTTCAAACTTGGAATCTTAGAATCCTATTGAGATTAGGTTATCAAACCCAAACCCACACATTCATTAATTGATTACCAAGCCATAACTGATGCATGCACTACATGAATTGTGTATTTTATACTATAACTATATTGGTGTTTATTAAACTCAAAACTCCCGTTGTAGATTTTACTTGATTGTTAACAATTGTACATACTGAAGCTATTTTTTTAATAGAAAAGTCAAAAGTATCCATAACAACGTAGTATCCATGTTTCCATAACAACTGAAACTTCATCTCATGGTTTGCAAGAATACTCATTATTTTTGTAAAAACATACTACTCCCTCCATGTTTTTTTAAGTATTACACTTATCAAATCCGGCTGTGTTTTAATAAGTGTTACACTTTTTTTTGGCAAAAAACTACATTAAAATATTATATCTCTCTCCTCTCATGGTCCCCACCCAAACCCAATACCAATGTATAAAAAGGCACAAGGCGCACCAAGGCGTTTTGGAGCATCTTGCGCCTAAGGCGCGCCTTGGTGCGCCTCATTGAAGTGAGACACATATAATAACTAAAAAAAATTCTGAAAAAAGCTCTTGTTGCGCCTCAGGCTGTGCCTTGGTGCGCCTTAGTGCGCCTAGGCGCGCCTCTGTGCGCCTTAGCTGCGCCTCATTGAAGTCGCCTCGCCTAGACCATAAAAAGCGCATGACCTCTACCGCCTTGCGCCTCAGCGCCTAGGCGTACTACTTTTTTTTATTATATCTCTCCCCTCACATTCATTACTTTTCAATAAACTATTAACCCCACTATCTTTCTTTTGCAATTTTTTTAATACTCTAACTACCCCACTTACCTCTTATTTTATTTAAGTCAATTAAATTGCCTAAAACTATGTGACGGTCAAACTGTAACACTTAAAAAAAACACGGAGGGAGTACGTAACACTTACTTTTCCCCGACATTCCCTTTTTTCCCCTAAATTTCCCAAATTTCCCCCTTTTATTAAATAAATTACGTAAATAAGGGTACAATTATCAGCTCATCAAACACGCTTTCATAAGGCAAAGGAAAATTACATAAACTAAAGAGGCCAAAATCACACAATAGAAGTATTAACAAGTTTCCACATTAAAATAATGAAAGGTGGGCCAAAGCATGAATGAGATAAATCCGGGCAGCATTTAGGTCTCCCAAGGGACTTTAGGACCCCGAGAAGCACCTCAATGCATAACCTTGCTGGATCCAAAAATTTTCTTTAAAAGCAAAGTTTAAAGGCGATAACACATGAAACAAGGACATATTCATAGATTTCAAGACTCAGACGAAGTCAAATAATGCTACTGGGAACCAAATATATGACCACGAGTTGTTTACATAAAAGATAATTGCGCTCTTTAGTTAATGAAAGGATGTGTGCAAGGAAATTGGCTTAAGTGACATTTTAAAGCCAAAGTAGGCAGTTTTAACAACCATATGGCCTATTGGGGTCTCATGGGGTCCGTGGGAAGCACCCTAACCCTTTTCCTTTACGAACCCAAAAAATTGAAAAATTGTCCAAAATTGAAGGCTATAATCTATGTATTTGGCCATTTTTTGGGAAAATTTTAAATTTTTCAAAATTGAAGAGAATGTGTGGGTGTCTCCGGGGGTCAAATTAACTGTGTTTAGAACCATTGAAAGCCTGCCAATAGGTCTATAAAGTTATCAGAATGAGTTTTGAACCAGTAGTAGTCAGAAGCTCTAAGGGATGATTCCAACCAATAACTTGGACTGGTCTATTAAAGTAAAAGAATTTCTTCATTAGGTTATCAAACCCAAAGTCAAACATACATTTATTAACCACTCAACCATTTCGGATGCATGCATTACATGAATTTTTTTCATTAAACTGGTGTTTGTTGACATCATTAACCCAATTGTAGATTTTACTTCGCTGTATTTTCATAATGAAGCTCATTTATTCATAGAAAAAAACAAAAAATTCCAGAAAGACTGATTCTTCATCTCGTGGTTGGCAAGAATAGCAACTATTGATGAAAAATCATCACTTGTTTTTTTTGCAAAAATTCCCTTATTTTTCTCTTTTACATCTTTTTTGAAGGTTAAAGCCAAATTTGAAGGCTATATACATAAAATCAAGCAATTTTAAGAGATTTAGAGTGTAGCTAAAGTATGCATCTTGGGGTTATAAGACCACTAGTTGGTAACATAAAAGCCTACGGTGGCCTATAATTGATGAAGGGAGGTGTGTACAAAATTAGTTATAGTGACATTTCAAAGGAAAAGTAGGTAGTTCTAACCATCCAGAAGGCCTCTTTCGGTCCCATGCGATCCATCAGAAGCACCTCAACCTCTTTTTTTTTCCGGACTCAAAACGAGTTATAAAGTGTCAAAAATAGAAGGTTATAATCCACGTTTTCATACCAATTTTCGGAAAATTTTTTCAAAATTAAAAAGAATGTGTGGGTGTTGCCCAAGGTCATATAAGTTGGTTTGAAACCATAAAAGGCCTACAAATAGGTTAAAAAAGTCTCAAGAATGAGTGTGTTCAATTATGTGGGTATTTTGAAACTTCACAACATTTGTAGGCACGAGCTCCAAGGGGTGATTTGAATCAAAAATTTGGCATCCCGAGTCCTATTAAGCCAAAGGGAATCCTTCATTAGGTTATCAAATCCAAACTCACACATTCAGTCATTGTTGATGCACGCACAACGTGAAAATGAGGGATAGGCCACGGTATGAATGAGACAATTCGGACACCAATAAAGCCTCCTAAGGCTATTTGGGAACCCGAAGAGCATCTCGATGCATAACCTTGTCTAGTCCAAATAATTTTTTTTGCAAAATATAGTTGGTATTGATGATCATCACACTTATTTTTTTTGCCAAAATTCCATTATTTTTCCAATTTTTCTCCTTTTTATCTTTTTTTTTCAAATATAAATTACCAAAATAAGAAGACAATTGTCCTTTCTGGGAAAAAAAAAGGAGACAATTGTCAGCTCATTATACATGCTTAATTACGCAAAGGAAATCTGCAAGATCAGAGACAAAAATCACAGCATAGGAGTATCAACAAGTTTATAGTGTCAAAACATGTTCCTTAAACCCAAATTCGAAGGCTATATACATACGATCAAGCAATTCTAAGAGAACTCTAAGAGATTTAGAGTGACGCTAAAGTATGCAACTTGGGGTTATAATGTTGTAAGGAACCAAAGCAGACCACTAGTTGGTTACATAAAAGCCAGCGGTGGCCTTTAGTTGATGAAGGGAGGTGTGCACAAAATTGGTTATAATGACATTTCAAAGGCAAAATAAGTGATTCTAACTGGAGCTGTCAAAAGTTGACCCGACCCGAATCAAACCTGATTATTAACCGAACCATTCGAACTTGAAAAAATGGTGACTCTAACCCGACCTGAAACAAACCCTAGACCTGAGTTGACCCGTACATGAACATGAACATGGAGATAACCCGACCCGAATGTAACCCGTTAATTATTGACCTGAACCAGACCTGACTTGAACTGAAATTGACCCAAACCCGTTTTAACCCGTCAAAATTCGAATTTAACCCGACTTGTTACTAACCTGACCTAAATTCAACCCGACTTGTTATTTACCCGACCCGAATTTTACCAAAACTATTACTAACCCGACCAAAAATTCAACCCGATCTGTTACTAACCCGACTCAAAACCAAAACACGACTTGATATTGACCCGAACTAAATTCAACCCAAATTATTCCTGACTCGATTTCAAATCACCTTAAATGCGATATGACCAAAGCATTTTGTCTAGGGAGACCAAGTCTTATATTATAGACATAAAATTAAAAATTAAATATATTATATATTTGTTGTATGTACAATGGAGATAATTATCTTCCTAAACTATAGACTATAATTCCATATTATATTGCCATATATATTATAGTCAAAGGAAATAATTAGCTTCATAATAATGATAATTATCTATTTATAGTTAGTTGAACCCGAATATGACCTGACTTGGACATGACCCGATCCGGTTGTAACCTGCAAATTATTGACTTCAACATAACCCGACTTGAATACGAGAATGACCCAACTTGGAAACGATCCAACCTGATTATAACCCGCAAATTATTGACCGAACCTGACTTGAACCCGAGACTGACCCAACTTAAAAATGAACCGACCTGACTATAACCCGTAAATTTATTGACTTGAAACGAACCCGAATCAAACCCGAGAATGACCCGACCTGATTCTAATCCACAAATTATTGACTTGAACCGAACTCGATAGTCCGACACGAACC